TTAACTCCATCTACAAGTTTGCTGACAACACCACCACTGTCGGCCAGATCTCAAACAAAGACAAGACAGAAGACAGGAATAAGACAGAGTGCTTGGTGGCATGGTGAAAAGATAACAATCTCTTCCCCCACTGTCAGTAGAACGAAGGAGCTCGTCATTGATTTCAGGAAACAAGGTGGAGGGCACACTCTTGTCTACATTAATGGTGCTGAGGTGGAGATGATCGATAGCATCAAGTTCCTAGGAGTGACGATCACCAACAATGTGTCCAGTTCCAACCTCGTTGATGTGACGGTCAAGAAAGTACAACAATACCTCTACTTCCTCAGGAAGCTAAAGAAATTCAGCACATCCAAAAAGACTGTCACCAATTTTTATAGGTGCACCATAGAAAGCACTCTACCCAGATGCATTATGGCTTGGCATGGCAACTTCTCTTCCCAGGACTAAAAGAAACTACAGAGAGTTGTGAACACAGCCCAGTCCATCATGCAAGCCAACCTTCCTTCCGTTGACTCCATCTATACTTCTCGTTGTCCCAGGAAGGCAGTTAACATCATCAAAGAATCCTCCCATCCCAGTTCTAATCTCTTCCAACCTCTTCCGTTGGGCAGAAGGTACAAAAGTTTAAACATATACCAAAATATTTAAGAACAGCTTCTTCCCCGCTGTTATTGGATTGAACGGACCTCTGTGCTAAATTGCCTATAGTATTCAAGGATATATAGATTAGGTGAGTTATAGAGGGATGGATCTGGTTGGGATGCTCTGAGGGTCAGTGTGGACTTGTTGGGCCAAAGGACCTGTTTCCTCTCTGTAGGGATTCTATGATTCTCTGATTCTCTCAAATTTTAAACTTAACGTTAATCTGGTTCTTTGTGAACCTTCTCTGTAGCCGTAACATTGTATTCCTCACTCTGTTCGATTACCCTTATGCATTTCATATGGTATGATCCCCCTGCACTGCATGCAAAACAAAAAACCTTTCACTGCGCTTAGGTACATGTGACAATAATAAATCAAATCATAAGAGGCCTGGGAGGTTGAGCTGAAAGGATGATGCAGAGGTGCTTCAGTGTAATTGAGACAAGTTGAATACGTGGGCAAATACATGGCAGTATAATGGGGATAAATGAGAGGTCATCCACTGTGGGAGCAAAAATATGGGAGGCAGATTATTATCTGAATGGCAAAAAATTGAGAGTGGGAAATATGCAATGAGACCTGGATGTCCTCATAAACCAGTCACTGAATGTAAGCTTGTAGGTGCAGCAGGTGGTGAAGAAGGCAAGTGGTATTTTGGCAAGAAAAACAGAAATTTCTGGAAAAGCTCAGCAGTTTTGGTAGCACTTGTGGAGAGAAATCAAGAGTTAATGTTTCAGGTCCGGTGACCCTTCCTCAGAACTATTCTCTTGGCCTCTTTTTCTGAGGAAGGATCTTCTTGTTAGAGAGGGAGTGCAGCAAAGTTTAACCAAACTGATTCCAGGGATGGTAGGACTGATGTATGAGGAGAGGTTGAATCGGTAAGGATTGTATTCACTCAAGTTTAGAAGAATGGGACCACCGAGAAATCGAGAAAATTCCAGCAGGATAAGACAGGGTAAAGTGCAAGAAGAATATTCCACATGGTGGGGAAGTCCAGAACCAGGGCTCACTATTTAGGACTGAGATGAGGAGAAACTTTTTCGCTCAGAGAGTGGTGAGCCTGTGGAATTTGCTACTACAGAAAGCAGTTGAGGCCAAAGCACTGTATGCTTCAAGAAGGAGTTGGAAAAAGCACTTGGGGCTTAAAGGGACCTAAGGCCTGAGGACAGGTCGAAACAGACTACTAAGTTGGATGATCACCCATGATCTTAATGAATGGCAGAGCAGGCTGAAAGGGCTGACTGGCCTCCTCCTGCTCCTATATTTTATGTTTCACCTAGCGTCTCCACATTCTGAGGCTGAAGCTAAATGAATAATGGAGACATAGCCCTCATTATCAGGGTGCAGCATCTCTCACTGTTTGAAGAAGAATATTCAGCTCTCATCTGTAACATATGAGACGTAAAAACATGTTTACTTCGTTGTGTTTCGATTGCAGGTCTTTTCCACTGGAAAAGCCTGCTTAATGATGCTGGAAGGATGTTGGTTGTAGTTGCTCCCTTCCTATGAGGGTGAAAGATTAGGCCTGATGGCAAGCCCAGTAGCAGGAGCAGGCCACAGTGGAGGCTGAGGAGCTCCTAGCTCAGGGATAGATTGCAGCCACAGGGCCCTTCAAGATGTGTATGGTCCACAGGAAACCCAGAAATGTTTGATCTTGCCTCCATTTATGGGGATAAGCGCAGCACAGTGTCAACAAAGGATGTGGCTGTCCTGGGGCACTGTAACAGGACTTTTTTGAGTGCTGGAGAGGGACCCAAGAGTTGCAGGATTGGGAGGCCATCTCTCCAGTGACAGCGCCTTTGAACTTTGATAGGAATGGCTCCTTCTAGGGATCAATGGGTGACCTGTGTGGGATTTCTCAGTCATGCATTCACAAGTGCGTCAGGACAATGAGGAAGGCCATCTGTACTATGTCACACTTTGCCCCCCAGTGACCAGGTCAGTGCTGCAGCCCAGGCAGGATATGGAAATATACTTAGCTTTCCCCAGGTGCAGGCTGTCATAGACTGTATACACATGGCTATGAGAAGGGCATATCAGAACACTGTGGAATTCATTCACAGGAAAGAGATCTGTTTAATGTTCAGGTTGTCTGTGATTATTGTTACAACTTCCAAAAGGTATCTTTCCACTATTGTGGCAAGTGTCACCACTCATGAACCCTGGAACACTCTTACGTACCTGTCAAGTTTAGGGTCCAAGGACTTCATGAGGCTGGCTACTGAGGGACAAGGGCTACCAATGCTGACCATAGCTTTCGACACCATTGTACAATGCCTTGACTGACGTAGAGGGCAAATACAATGCTGCTCACGCTTCATCCAGGGCCATGGTGGAGCACACAACAGGGCTGCTGAAAATGTGGTTCCACTACTTGGATTGATTTGGGGCGCACGCCAGTATATTTCACGTAGAGTGTGCCGCATCATCCTGGTGTGCTGTGCTCTGCACAATTCCAGCAGGCAACAAGGTGATGTTTAGATTATGAAGATCTGGGGAAACAGGAATGGTCTTCCAAGGAAGACAATGACAACATTGGGGAACAGGAAGCTCTCCTTGTCTGTCACAGAGTTCGACTGTGTAAGGTGCTAATAGCCAGACAGGACCTGACTGACACCCGGTTTCAGTAGATGAGAGCTGGGTGCAGTGGACCATCATAGGCCATAGACTAGACATTGGTCATGATGCCAGCCTTTGGCTTGCAATGTAGGGGTGAACTACAGTCTCTATTGGCAGTGTTTGGGTTCACTTTTGCTGGTTACAAAAAGGTGGTCATGTTTGGAATTGTCTAATTCCTTGTCTTGGTGTAATATTCTCCTACACGATGATAATGACAGGTTGCAAGTCTCTCCAGTAGGCATTGAGGACAGAGTAACAGTGATATAATCAGGATTTTTGAGACAGAATATAGTTAAAGACTAGTGAAGTGTGCAGCCTAGTAGTTAAACAGCGAAGAGGGTGAGAGAATGGGGTTTTATGTGCAAAGGAATGAGTGTCAGTTGCATGCCAAGACAGCTTGGTTTTGTGGTTGATGCACCATTTTGCTGCTGGTGAACAGCAATGCCAAATTGCCTAGTTTTGTCCACGTGGAAAGCAGCCTTTCAAAGATGGTGTGGGAGCAAGGAATATCAGTCTTTCAGCGTTTTTTGATGAGTGGCAAGTCACTAGGGATGGTCTATGGTAAGGTGGGGATAGAATTGGACAGGAGGGAGGTCACAGAGATGCAGCTGGCTATCATTGAGACACATTTGGTATGACACAATGAGAAATTTCGCTGCTCCTCATCACAAGAATCCCTCCAAAAATTCTCGATGGAATTAGCACTTTGCTCAAAGAATCAGATTCTACCCTATGTTTGAAATGCAAGATTTTAGTTCGAAGTGTTTATACAGGTAGTTTGAGTTTTAAGTGGTAACTCACTGCCACCTTCTCAAGGGAATTACAAATGGACAACAAACGCTGTCTTTTGCCAGCAGTGCTCATCATCCTATGAATGAAGAAAGAAAATGCTTCGAAAAAAGCATATCCATAAATTAAAACACTACAAACTGGATGCAAGGTATAGAGCTGGATGAACACAGCAGGCCAAGCAGCATCAGAGGAGCAGGAAAGCTGACGTTTCAGGTCAAGACTCCTGCTCCTCTGATGCTGATTGGCCTGCTGTGTTCATCCAGCTCTGCACCTTGTTATCTCAGATTCTCCAGCATTGGCAGTTCCTACCATCTCTGTAACAAACTGGATGCAGATGCTTTTATATCAATACTAGCCTATCTTCTGGTGATATATTGGCATGTACATTAACGCTGGTCTTCAGATGAAAGAAAGGTGTGTTCATGAAACAATTTTCAATCATACAGTCCTCAAATTTTATATAATTCTGAAATGTTTGTGGGACAGTTGGAAGCAAAGATGTGGAGTTTTTTAAAATCACTGGAATCTCTGTGCCTTCTGAGTAAAGAATTTGCAATTTCTAATCCAAATAAAGACATCATAATTCATGCTGGAAATATTCATATGGCAAGTTTGCACAGACATAGACTTTAAATATATTATTTAAATATACAAGCTCACAAATATTCTTTTATAGCAAACATTAATATGAATTAGAATTGTATCGCAATTCATTGTGGGCTAATTTTATCACAAAATTATAAAAGAAACCAATAAGTAATATCTATATTCAGGACTATTGAGAACAATTAATAAACATGTCCTGAATGCGCTTCTTTGAAATGTTCTTTTCTTTTGTACCTTGTGTTCCTTTTATCTTAATTAACATTAACTATCAGAATATGCATGAATATTCAGTACTCATTTACTGTTACATATATTAAAGAATAACTGCAAGTACATACCAGAATATTTTCCTCCTTTGTTTCTCTTTATGAAGCAAGCAATTAGTAAAATCAAGGTAAGGAGAGCAACAGCACACATTAGGCCAATAAACCATCCTTGTGTAGATATTCCTCCATGAATTCCTGCATAAGCTGTTATAGTCCACATAATTAATCATCAAGAAAAGTAGCAATTAGTAAAATTAAACCATCTTTTTCACGAAAATTCTTGCAACTTTATTCAATCAATATACTACACATCATTTTTATCCATGAGTCTTATCTAAATGTTAAGAATTGTTACATTCTTCTCATTGATACTTGTTTGTCAGAAACTTCATTTATTTTATAATGTACGCAAAGTAAATCTCACCTGTAATTAACTGTAGAAAAAAAAAGCTCAAATACTTCAGTTGTGCAGTGTTATATTCTTGAAATAGGGTTTGTTCGAAAGAACACATCTCATTGATGTTATTTGGCACAATGCATGCATGAAAGAGCTGCATCAAAAGATGTCAACAAAGAACAATTCCGAATTTCTTGAAGGAAGCAACTGACTCGAAAAACAGTCTAACAACTACGAAATGTTGAAAATGTTTATGTTATTCTTAACTATTCTATGCTGTAATATTCTATGAAATTCTATGATACTACATCAAGTCATTGCTATGGTCACAATGCCAACCAACTCTTGGCTATATCCCTGTCTCATAAATTCCATTTTAATCCCAACGTATCTACATATGAGCTGAACAAAGAGACCACAATTATGAGTAACACTATGTAATAACCATTTCTTCTGCATTCGATGAAAATTTCTGCAAATCGTTTTTGACATCTGCTGAACAAGTACATAAAATTATTCAGGGATTTGAGAATAGCTTTGAAATTAAAAAGGAACCTTAAATTACCAGTGTGCATAGATACTGATTAGGTTGATTCATTCACTGTTAGCTCATGTATGATTTTGGCTTGATATACCAGTCATGAGTGAATGATAAAGCATGCCTACAAGAGCCTATTAAGCAATGGCAAAAGCACCAGTTAGGCCATGCACAAGCAATGCTGATGAATTACAAACAAAACCGAAGTTGATTGTCAGGATAACAGCAAAGCATTACTATATGCAGAACCTCAAAAAATTGAAAATTCTATGCATGTTGTCCCAATGCAACAATTTATGTTGATTACAAACATCCTTTTTTTCCTTCTGTGATCTATAATCTAAGGGTAATAGTTTTCCATATCAACAATAGTTTTGAATATAAATTATACTTATTTCAGTGGCGCAGCATGACTTGGCCACTTTGGAAGGTGGTGAGGGCAGGAGATGGAGGGGAGCAGGGCAGATTGCCCCATTTGAAATTTGTCTAAATTGGAGAACAGAATACGAAGCTGATATTGAGGTAATACTCCCAAGCCAAGCCTGAAGGCTGAGCCATAACTGGACTGACTGTAGGTCAAACACAAGAGCTGAAAATAAATAATGTGGACTCCTGGAAGTGAAATAGAAGTAGTCCTCCAAAGGTATGGTTGTCTACAACCTTCTACACAAACTCTAGAGGATCTTGCAAGAGTGGGGGTGCAGTGATGAGGTAGTGGCTGAACCCCCTCACTGGCTCCGCCAATGTATTTTTTCCAGTATATTTATTTGTAATGTATGAAAAATGTGTTCACTAGATTTTAAATGGGACCAGTGCCTCACCTTTTCCCCTTGTTTCTATAACATCTTCAAAAATGCTAGAGTTATCAAACCAGTTCTTAGCCATAAGACGGATTGTATATTCAGTTCCAGGTTCTAGCCCTTCTAAGATGTGGAAATTTTGTGAAACATTTACCACGTCTGAAATCTTCCATTTACCTTTACCTATGGAAATTGCATTAAGAAAATTAACTCCAACACATTGGCTGGGATTTTAATCCCAAAACAACTCAAGCACAATTAGGTTTAATTATAAAAGTTACGCCACATTTATCACTGTACTTTTTATTTCTTAAAATATCAATGAAACTTATATAACAATACGAATAATACAACGACAATACAATTTGCATCTTTAAAAAAATTGCCTGTAACTGATGCTAATTTGAGAGTGAGTTATAAAGAAATAAACTGCATTGATTTGCTTCGTTAGTCATAGTTAGTGGGGCAAGTAGAACAGGTATATTAACAGGTCCATTGGGGATTTGATTACAATTTCTACAAGAATTAGAGAGCGAGAACAGCTTACGGTTATTCATGTATGCAACATAAAATTCAGAAGCTGCATGTCCCATTCCTGGAATCCAGCTGATGTTTGCATATGTTGCACTTACAGAAGAACTGACGTTCAGCAAGACTGGAACTAGTAAATAAGTAACAAGACAAGCAATATTGCATTAATGCAGCGATGTTATTTGCACTATAGGAAAGTAAGAACGAAGATTAGATTACAACTTTACCAACAGCATGCACACCACAGGGTTTGTAATTAAAGATCAGTTCAAGGAATGTTGGCTGCTGATTAAATTCTGGTCTGCAAATCAGGAGTAAATGTATCATATCACGGCTTGTTTATTAATTTCAAACCCTGGCATAGCGGGGAATGGAACAAGTAAATGAGTAAAAATAAATGTTTCATTTTTGCAAAATAACTTTTCACGTTCTTCTATGAAATGACTATTAAGAATTAGAAATGTGTGCTGGTGAATATCTAATTTGTATAATAGAAGTTACATATTTCCTTTTGAAACATTGAAGCTGCAGAATAGCCAACTGTATAATGTTCCATTCCGCAGAAAAGTAGCCACATATAGAACGTAGGCTGTACAAAAAGAAATACCGTCACTTCAATCTTATTAGCAAGTCAGTTGAGAAAAGATTTTGCTAAGCCCCAAGGATACAGATCAAGACAAACTGGTAAAACTGATGAGTTAGTAATTGAATAAGAAGCAAAGTCTGAAGAGGGAAAATTGCAGAAACATACAATGTTTTTATCTGTCAATATTACAACATCATTACTAGAATAATGTTGAATATTACCAAGCTGCTCACTTAGGGCTTTGCAGAACTACCATTAGGTGCTGCAGAGTGCAGGAATTTCATAAGCACAAGCAAATAAATTAATGAGAAGTGTACTTTAAGCAATCTTTTAGGCTAAGCAACATCTCATAACAGCAAAAATGCCAAGCGTGTTGTTTTCTGGTATCTCAGCCTTGTATACAATTCAAGTAATATCAAGTCATTTTAAGATTAAATTTAAGAGCAGAACAGGTCATTCTGGGTTTCAATAGCATACTCATATATAAAAACAAAGATTCTTGCAGTCTACTATCTCTGATTCTTGTAGTGCAGATGTCTTGTCTGTACCTCTGGGAAAGAAGGTCTGGGTTCAAATACTACCTGCCTCACGTTTGAGCATGTTGATTAAAAATATCTACGACAGAAAATGTCACCCAGGCTACAGAGAATCAACTTGGGTTCTTTCCAAGATATGACAGACCCCAACTCGTGGGTTTCAGCTAAATGTAAACCATTTTTAGTGGATTTTCATACAGCTAGTTGCTACAAGTCTATCACTGCCTGGTGCTAACCTGTTCTCACTTCCAAGCATCCACAGTCTCCACGTTTTTTCAGGAGACAAGACAATTGTTTTACATTCTTCTGTCGATAAATAGCTTTGTTTCCACTCGTGTGAGAAACACTTTTAAAGTCTCTGAAAATATTACCACGGCTCATTGAGTACAATCCCTGTCAGATGAGTACAATCTATATGTAATTTTGTAATAAATGACACAAACCGAATACACTTACAAAGTGTTGAAAATGGCAAATTGTCAGTTTGAATCAAGTAATTTTCACTGTGTATTTTGAATGTTCTAGCTTAAAAAGGCACACAACATAATTGCATGGAGTGTTCCTTCCCTGTGCCCTCAAAGGCAAACCTCAGCTTTGGAAACAGATGTAGACACAGCAGGAAGAAGGTTACAAATCTCAATATGCTAATCCATTGTCTACAGAAACAAAAAAGCTTTCTATGATATGCCACTTTGAATTCACGTTGCTGACATGTAGGATATTACACAACTGAATGTGAAATACCTACAAAAAACAAAGAATCATTGGAAATTAGGGTAAGGGAAGCAGTTGGAATGGAGAAACTGGAGGAGGATCCTGAAAAAAAAGCACAGAAATAGACTCATGAGAATTTACAGAATTGCCAAAAGGTGCTGGAAAAGAACACAAAGTGAACAATGGCCTGACTTGAACAGTCTACATTGCAAACTCTCTTACAGTGTAAAATGAAATAAGTATACAAAGTTGCATTAATTTTTCAATGTTCTTTGGACAATTGAGAACAGAACACATGATTAATAGTTTGGGTTGAAGATTCTTGATGTTTTTTCGAGCAATGCACATTCTCTCACATTCTTGGATTTTGGAGCAAATGGGGAGATTGCAAGGAAAACAAAAACAACGAAAAACTGAAACACTTTTCTCATTCATACAGTATCATAATTGATTGATAATTTCTCTTTCACAGTGCATCATCAGTTTAAAAAAAGCCTCATGCACAGAAAACACATTTGATTTGCCATGTCTGCTGTTCAAGGAACGATCAATCCTATGGTTCAAATGCAAAAGTTTTGTGTCAACGATTTTAAATATATATGTGAGTGACAATCCTTTCTTGAACTCAGAGAGTTCAATTTATAATAAAAAAGAAAGTGCTGGAAATACACAGCATCCATACAGAGAGAAACTGAGTTAAATTTCAGGTTCATAGTCTTTCAACCCTTTGAGAAACTTCCCTTTCGGTCTTTCTCAACCTCCTTTTCCTAGCTTCAACCTGTTTAAAGGATATAAAGCCTCCTTTTTCCAGTCTGACAAAAGGTCATCAACATGAAATGTTAACTCACAACAGATGCTGCCTGACTTGCTGAGTACTTACAGAATTTTGTGTTTTCATTTCAGAGTTTCAGTATCTGCAGTATTTAGCATTTGTATTCATTGTTTAAATTTGCTTGGCCTTAGTCCTTACTGGATCGTATTTTTCAGTCTGTTCAATGAAAATCAGAGGACCATTGTGTAGAGAGATCATCAGCTCAGTATATTTTTACATTGTAACAATAGATTTTCTCTTTGTCACCCAAATGGTATTTTGTAATTCATAGAATGAAGATCAAATGGATTTTCTAAAGGACAATGAAGACTGCAACCTACCCATAATTCTGCAATGTCTTCATGACTATGCAGTACTTTTGAATTGTTTAAGAAAATGATTGAGATTAAAAAAAGAGCAAATTCTACATAGCATGGTGACTACTGTTCTCTGAATCTTCACTGTGCTTAATTCTATTGAACACAACTTACAGTTAGGTGAGATATTATTCTGCCATCTATTAAAATTGAGGACATCATGTGAGAACATCTACAACAGATAATTTGCAAACACCTTGTCACTCAGACAAGGAATCATTCTATTTGAGAGTCAGTGACAACGGTGAGAGTGAAAAGGTACTGAGATGCTTATCCTCAAGCTGTCTGAAATAAGAGAAAGAGACAAAAAAATTTCAAATTTGTAATGGCTGCTCTCTACTCAACACACATCATTCTGTTTCATTTCTGGCAGACCATATCCTACAGTGAAGTCCCTTGTATATAATTATGATGATTTGTTTGAAAAGGAAACATGATATTTTCCTTTCTGAAAAAGCATTTTATGTTGCATTTGTATCAATTTAGTGCTTGTGCTATAGGAAGTGAATGGTTTTCCCTTAGTTTTTAGATATCATTATTACTTTGAACAATGAACCACTGAAAATAAAGTGTCTGTAAAATTAAAGCAAGTCTACTGTTTTTAGAAAAGTAATTTATCTTTTAGATTATGTGCAAATTAGTTGCTTAAAAAGATGTCTGTTTATTTGGCTTCAGACTAAATTAATAAAACTGCTGTCATTTGCAAAATTGTGTTTCGGTTTGAATACATTTTGTGTTTGATGTAATTCAACAGATAGTGGTGTACCTGGCCTGGAGACTGCAAATTCTAATAACTGTAAGACATTAGTGCACTTCCACATAATCTTCTGCACTAATTTTAAAACATCATAGCATAAGCAGGTGGTGAACTAATCACCATCAAACGTTTCTGCTAAGTCTGCTTATTTGTAAATTTGTGAGCAGCCTTCAAGAATTTAACCTTAAATTCAACTTAAGCAATTTTGGACACTAGAACATGAAAGAAGATATATTTAAAAGGTTTTGAATGATTTTTGCTTTTTACTAAAGGATTGGCTACTCCACCTGTTATGGACCAGACCAAATCACCTCAAAATATATTAAAAAGATGGCCTAGACCTTACTTTTTTTTAATTTTAAAGTTAAGTGCAAGGTGTTGCATTCCAGATGCAATTTGATTGGTCAAACCACTCAACTTCAAGCAAAACACATTTTATTTTTACATGACAGTTAAAAATACAGACAAAATAAAAATAAAAGAATTGGCTTAACTGGAACTCTGTTGAAGTGCTTAACAAAGGAATAGATATATATTAATGACAACTAATTAACTTTCCAATATAGGAACATCTTATAAACAACCTTTGGCAAAGGAAAATTCAGTGAAATAGATTGTCTCACATGGAATTCCAGCAACAGGAAGATAACCCCAGATTTTAGGCGTAACAGAGAAAGGAATAAGAATTTCTCCATCCAGCTTCAAGATCCCTGCAACTGCAGAAAGCTAAAACAAAAAAATTCTGGCTCTGTGGGAGCTTGACCCCACCCCTTCAGGCCACTTCTATTGTCTCAACCTTTAAAAAAAAGGCTTCAGAAGTTGTTTACTGTATTGGCTGTGAGCAGAGCACTGATCACCTCTGTCTCAACCTCTCTTCACAAAAAAAAAACTCCAGGACAAAATACACCTCTGAAGGCCACAGTATCGCCACACCTCCCCCCAACATAAAAAATGAACCATCAATATACAAATGTTATTAGTACACTACAACACATATACACAACATTAACTCTAAGCATGTAAACATTCACTGGTACAGTCCATTTCAGTATGTATTTTCCTACCACCGAATGCTTCTATCTTCATTTATAAAAGTTGCAACAATGCATTGTCAATTATGTTCTCTCATCCTGCCATGTGTATAATTTCCAAATTGAATGGCTGCAATAATAAGCTCAATCTAAACGTGTGAAATTTTTATCTCTAAGTTTTTCCAAAAGCATTAAGGGGTTATGATCAGTGTGTCTAGTTGTCTCAGACACATTACTGGCAATATAAATGTTGAAAATTTTCAATGCCAACACTAAACTCGAGGTCTCCTTCTTAATTGTGGAATATTTCTGTTGATG